ATCTGTATACCTTTTATTTCTTTTCCTTGCCTTAATGCAGTGGCTAGAACTTCCAGTACTAGGTCGGGTAAGAGTGGTAAGGTCAGACCTCCTTGCCTTGTTGCAGATCTTGGGGAAAAGCATTCAAACTTTCCTATTAACAATGATGTGATCTTTAAGTTTTTGTAGATGTTCTTTATGAAACCAAGGAATTTCCCCTCTGTTTCTGTTTGTGTTATGAGCATGTGATGTGAGTTACAAAAAATACATATTTGGTCATTCAGATGACCAAATATATTTTTCCCAGGTATATTTAGTCTTCATCCACAATTCCTGAAAACACTTGGAGCCTTAAAGGTGAAATGGGTGTCTTTTCATGTTAATGAGAGACTTTTGGACCCCCATTCAAGGGCCAGGGCTGGAGGTTGAATCAGCCAATAGCCAATGATTTAGTCAATCATGACTATGCAATGAAGCTCTCACAAAAACCCAGGAGAAGAGCATATCTTTCCTTTTGTGTTCTGTCTTTCTGTTGGAGAGAGCTTCCATACTTGGGGAACCAGAACATTTCCATGTGCCAACGAGCCAGGCCCCAAGCTCCACAAAGATAGAAGCTCCTTTATTTGAGACCTTGCCCTATGTATTTCTTCATCTGGCTATTAACCTGTATCTTTTATTAAACTGGTAAATGCATTTTTCTGAGCTCTGTGATCCACTCTAGCAAATTAATTGAACCTAAGGGGGAGGTCATTGGGACATCCAGTCTGTAGCTGGTTGGTCAGAAGCATAGCTAGCAGCCTGGGGTTTGCGACTGACATCTAGTGTGGGGGTGGAGTGTTGTCTGGTAGCATGGATCCCTTAACCTGGGAAATCTGGTGCTGTCTCTCAGCAGATGGCATGAGAATTGAGTTCTCAGATCCCCTGCTGGTGTTTGAGAATTGCATGGTGATGTGCGTGGTAAGACCCCCTCCCACACACATGCATTGGAATCAGGTCCCAGAAGCCAACAGGAGCTCCTGAGGGAACCCAGAGTTTTCATCATGAATGGATATTTCATTTCGTTCAGTGTTTTTTTGTGTGTCAGTTGAAATAATGATACAATTTTTCTTCCTTAGCATGTTGATATGGTGAATTACACTGATTGATTTTTCGAATCCTGAACCCGCCTTTCATACCTGGAATAAAACCTTCTTTGATCATGGTGTTTTTTTTTTTAAAGCATTGTCAGATTCAACTTGCTAACTCTCTCTCTTTCTCTTTCCCTCTTTATTCTATTACTGTTGGTGGTTCTGGGCTATAGGACTGTCTGACATCAAGTCCAGAGGACATTTGGGAGAACAAAAGGAACCTTAGGAAACTCCAGTTGTTGATGTCCCCAGCCAGGTGGCCTTCTTCTTCCCAGCATCCTGAGTCCTCTTGTCATTGTCTGTTGAGTGATTTCCAGGGTGTTCAGATATACTTACAGGAGACAAGCTGTGCAGAGAGAGTGGCACTAGAGGACAAGGCACTGAATCAATCAGTGGGGAGGTATTGGTTATGCCTGGTGTGGGAGGCATTGGGTTGGTCAGAATACAGACTCAAAGGTGACATGTTAGCATTGGGGCCTTGGTTAACGCAGAGAGGAGCTAGGGAGGAACCGATTATTTAAAATACGAATGATATTAACAACAGATAAAATCTACTGAATGCTTTCTCTGTGCTAAGCACTGCACTAAATGCATGTGTGGGATCCTCGTATTTAACCTGTTAAAATAGATACAAATTTAGTTACTACGTCCATTTCACATCTAGAGGAACTGTTGTTTGAGGAGATTAATAACTTGCCTAAAGGCATGCCCTGTAAACCCCAGATCCAGAATTCAAACCCAGATCTGAGACTAGTACTCAATTGTGACCACTTCCACTGCATCAGGCCCCAGTGGGGAGTCTTTGCATCCCATCAGGCAGGGTGAGGAAAAGCTGCTTGTACTTGAGCAATTTTTAACCTTTCTGAACCTCAGTTTCCTCAGCAGTAAAATGGGATTAACATCAACTTTGCAGTATTGTTGTGAGGCTTAAAATACCACAAAAAATAATGTACTTTGTAAGCAGTAAGGAGGGACAAGAACGACCGTAGGTTCACAGGGACAGCTGGCTAGGGAGTGGGCGCTGCTGGCCCAGCTGCTATAGGGAGGTTTGGAGGTGAGGTCTCTGAGTGTGGCCACAAGATAGGTGTTTCTCCAGCTGCATTTAGGGAGCTTCAGTGGTGTGAGCTCAGGGACATCCGACAGACAGGAGGCATGAGGCCACAAGGGGGCGGGTGGTACATCAGGCAGCAAGTGTAAATCCAACTTAATTTATGCAATGGGAACCTAACCAAGAGCACTACTTTGACAGGGCCCCACTGTAACCCTCTGGGGGCCTGGCACAGTGCATCCTGGTGGGGCTGAGCCTGTGAGCTGAGTCAGGGGCGCAGGTATGCGGTGGAGGCTGCTGTGGGGGCTGAGGGCACGATAGGGCTGGATGCTGGGGAAAAATAAGGAAGCATCACAGCTGGGAAGAAGAGCAGGAAGAAGCTAAGATTAAAAGTAATTACGGGGCGTTGTGGTGAGAGCTTTGTTTCACTTTTCTTTTCCCTGCTCCTGGCTCGCCTCCTGAGTCAGTCTGTTTTTTACGTATTGATTATAGGATTTTTCTGATTCTGTTGTTTTCATGAGGTATTTTTGGTTCCTGTTGAGAAAAAAATAATAGCTTAAGTTGGATTTCTGTCGGCTCCATGCTGGTCTGAATGCTTCTTCGAGGCCCAGGGATTCTTCTCCTGTCTTCCCATCAACTGTGTCCCACGGCAAGAGCTCCCACACCTTTGTCTTGTCAGGACCCCGGAGCTCTAGAAGGCTCCTTTTGTTTTGTGCAAACAGAGCAACTGTTTTTTTCCTGACTTGCTCTTTATCAACTGATTCATGCGGGCAACTTGGCTTTCCTCTAACTTGCCCCACCAAATGCTGCCGGCCTGCCGGGCCAGGTCAGGTGGTGACCCTGCTCTGACTCAGTCTGTGCCTAGTCCTGTGGCTGCACATCCGCCTTGTTGGGGTCTTGCACTCTCTCCTCTATATCTCACCAACTTTCAATGTGCTCTACACAAGGTCAGGGTTTTATATCCACATAATGTAATGTATTTATCTATGTAATATTTATTTATTCATATGATGTTATGATAGATTAATATATTTTTTTAGATAGTAAGGTCATTTTGTCCTTGGAGCTCAAAGGTCCAGATATTTCCTATAGAGGTACCACATCTCCCCCTGAAGGTAGAAATCAATGGCATTATGATTAATTTCCAATCTAGCACATGGGACACACTGGCACGAATTCCTTACTTCAGCCTATGTGTATGGAGCACCTCTGCGTGTCAGGCAGGCACAGCTGTGGGTCCTGGGGAGGCAGCAGTGAACACAACAGAAGTTGTAAACATTTGAGTAGAGAAAATGCACAAGCCAACCAAAGCATATAATGTCATTTCAGGGAGTTGTGTGTAGGAAGATTGTAGCAGGGTGAGGACTGGTCCAGAGGAGACAGTGAAGCCTTTTCTGAGCAGGCACAGGGCTGTGGGCATCTGAATCGAGCGAGGGATCTGCTGAAGCAGATGCCGTGGCCACAGGCTCGACCCACCACGTCGCTCTGACTTCAGCTGCGGTTGTGAGCACAAGCCGCTGGAGCCTGACGGAGTTTTACCTTAAGGGCTGGGCTGGAAGCATCTCTTGACTTGTCTGCCTCGGCTTGCCCCCCAACACTGTGGGAATTCAGCCCCTGTATCGTGCTATGGGCTTGTTTACAGCCTGGAACCCGGGTGGGTGTAAGGTGGTAGATGAATGCCCGGCCTCCGTTCTTTGGAAAAGACAGTGGGGAGGTGCATCTCTGAGGCTCCTGTTAGACCGAGCCCGCGTTGCCCACGGCACCTGCTCCCACCCTCCCGTGGCTTTCCCTCCTTGCTTCCCTCCCTCTGCTTCCGGTTCCCCACTCACCTTATCAATACATCCCTTGCACCCACCCACCCAGTTTCTGCACCCAGAGGAAGTCAAACTGAGCTACATTCCAACTCTAGGGTTGCTGCTGTTCTTTTTCTCTTAATTTTAAAAGAAGTTCACATTTAACATGTATGCCTCTAAATTATTCTTACTCTATTACACAGTGCTCTTCAGACGTATTTCCTAATTATCCCCGTTTCATCTCCATTACCTAATCACACTCTCTCCCCAGTCCTTGCTGCTGCTGCTTCTTGTTCTTTTTTTTTAAAATTAAACATTAAAAGATAAGGATTCTTATTACTGGAACCTGAAAAACTCCCCTCAGACTAAAAAAATAGGTAATGTTTTATTTAAATATGCAATAACATTATTCATGCCCTTCTGTAATGTCTAAATATGATAAACATTGTCCTTTATAGAAAAAAAACACAGAAAAAAGCTTGCCCGACACTAGTACTACTAATTAATATTTGCTGAATACTAAGTGTGCAACGTAGCCACGGATTTATCAGCCTACAAAGAGCAAATGCTGGTTTCATGGAAAGAAAGGCAGAATCAAAGAGCCAAGTGGCAGCCCACATCACCAGGGGCTAGGCAAGCCTCCACTGGCAACTTCTTGTGGTGCAGGATGAGGCTCAGTAGGCCAGGAAAAAGGGCGGGTCTTCCCAAATATCAAATATTTCACAGCATGCCAAGGAGGGCCTCGCTTCACCAGAAGTGGAAGTCCTCCATGATCCTGAGAGTGCCAAAATCTATATAAATAAGAGCATAGGTGAGAATTTTACAGCAACAGCATGACCCTCTGGTTAAAGAATAGCTTCTGGAATATGAAAATATAACCTGGAATATTTTATGACAGAGCACTTTTCTTACATTGAAATTTCAGCCAGGAGAAATGTGTATCATAACAATACAGCCTTCTTCCACATGGATCTGCTAAATGTTCAGAGAACTCTGAAGAAATAATTTAATGTTTTTATTATGCATTAAAAAAACGTCTGCTTGTTTTTGCAGCTTCATGAAGGACACCATGTGTTACAGTGGAAATTAGAATTAGAATTCGCGGAAAGGAGGAGAGGGCCTTGCAGCATCGGTGTGCACCACAACCAAGCCCAGGGCTCAGCGCTGCAGGGGGGCCCAGTGTGTCCAAGCAGAGGTGAGCCCTTACTTCTTTTAATGAACAAAAATGAAGACTTCTACACTGTGGAGTGGATGATACTGTGAGGAAAACTGTGGTGACTGAGGGCTGTTCCTGCCCTGGACAGGCAGCCAGTTGGAAGCAGATATGAGGAGTGGCTGACCAGAGGGACCTCATGGAAATGTCAGGGGAGGAAGCATGGAGAAGAGGAACAGATGATAAATTACTTTCTGGTCATGGCAGGTGCTGGGGGCTGCACTGAGGACCACCCAGGGCCAAGGCTGAGATGGGACATCACGGTCTGGGCTAGGCTCACCCTTGAGTCTGTCCCTTGGTATCGTTAGGGCATCCGCTTTCAGCGGCCTTGCAATGTGGAGATCCTCAGGCAGTAGACAATGAATGCCCACTGGCTCGCAGAAGCTTGTGAGATTTTATCATTGTCATGAATCTCTTAGCACTTTGGTAGTTTAGAGGGAACGTCCCCTACTTAGGCCCAAAATGAAAGATGTGAGCAGAGGTAAAAAAAATGAGAAATGCTTTCCCTTCTTACCCCCACCACCTTCACTTCTCACTTGGAGATACTTGTCCTGGGAGATGTCCTCTTCCTTTTCCTTGCTGAGCTCCTGGCTTCTAAGAACATTCAGTTTGACATCTTGACATTAGATCATTTCCTGTGTTTAGTACTAAGATATCAGATGGTACAAATTGATGAAATATGCATAGTCCAGTTTCTTCTATCAATAATATCCCTCATTAGGGACTATAATGGACCCCCAGTGCATGTGCTGCATGGAAATCTCTTGTGTGAATGGTGCATTTAGCACCAGGAAGAAGATGTCAGTCTTGAATCAAACATTGAGAAAAGGCAGGAGTGAACCACACTTTTCAAGTTGCATATCTGGACTATCACTGAGCCCCTCCGTGGAGGGGTGTCTGCTGAAGAGCAGGGTGGAGGGAATTGGGGTTGAGGCTGATGGAGAGGTGAGAGAGCCTGAGGTGGCTCTGTCCTCCTCAACACCCCACACAGCTGGGAAGGGTGAGAATGTGTAAGGTGGGGCAGAGAGAGAGGGGCTGGCAATGGCCACCTGCCTGGGATTCATGCTCCTGGCAATGGCCACCTGCCTGGGATTCATGCTCCCGGATGTCAGGTGTGGGAGCTCTCTGGAGAGATGGTTTATCTTATCTTGCACCTTGGCTGTTCCTTTGTTAGACTGGTGTACAGGAGACACCATGCAATTTAGCTTGATCAGGGAGAGCATGCTTTTTTATTAATTTGTGCTTTTCTTTTTCTTTTCCCTTTCTGGGGGAATTACATATTTTTTAAAAAGTCTAGTAACTTTACATAAATATAGGGTTGGAATGAAAATCAGAACAATTAAGTATTAGTAAAAGGGTACCAGATTATAACTAGGTATTATCTTTTCAAAATCATGCTCAATAACATGGTTTATGTATATCACACTAACCTATTTTAATGAATGCAAAGCTAATATGAGTCTCAGATAACTCTTCCACAGAAAACCTAACCAAAACACTAATCTCCCTCTGCTAGCAGGATACCGGAAACTTTGGTGAAGTGTTTCAAGAGGTAATAACCCCATGAGTGCTGTGAAGTGTGGAGCTAATCCCATAAAATGAGAGTAAAACCACAGGAGGAAAATAGTGTGTGAATGGAAGAGTCTCACTTAAAAGATACAATCAAAGCAAGTAAAACCTCCTTGTTTTTGTGTTGAAGTTCCCAGAAGCTGCATGGAGCTGAGAGAAAGCCTGTCACACACATTTAGATTTGAAATTTTAGTGGAAGTTGAGCTTCCTTGGGTGACTTTCTCTTACTAAACTTTTAATGTAACCTTTGAGCTTTATTTTTATGAAAGATACTTTTTACCAGCCACATGGCTAGGGTCAGGGTTTGGTTCCTTGGGACTGTAGCAAAGATTACTTAACAAACAAACAAGAACAAACAAACCCTGGTGACCTAAGATTCATTGGGAAAAAACTCAGTTTTAAGCACAGAAGAAAATTATATTTAATCAAAGGTCATTCAAGAAAGTCAAGTTTTAAATCCAGGAGAGATTATATCCAAAGAAACAAATCCTGGAGCTAGTGATAAATAATTAAGGTGGGAATTGGAGTCAGAAGGTAGAAAGCACATTCTGTGATACCAGCTTCTATATATTGGGTTTCACACTAGGTTCTTTCAGACATGAAGTAATATGGTCCTAGACTATGCAGTGTTACAGATGAGGAAAATGGAGCTCTGAGGGTGACTTATCTTGAACTGCATACTAATAAGTACTGTAGCTGGGATTTAAACCAAGATCCATTCGGTACCAAAGTCCATGTTATTTTTAGGACACTAGGTGAAAATGAAGGGAGATCAGGGGCCCAAAAAGGTAGAGAAATGGCCATAAAAGCCACTGCGCCTGTGTGTGTGTGTGTGTGTGTGTGGTTTGCTTTTTAACTGTTTAAATCAAACCTGTATTCCCTGGAGATTTGTTTGATCTTTTCCTACATGATGAAGTGTCTCATGGGAAGATGCCCTACTTCTCCAGACACAGATAAAGCTGCAATAGTCCAAGAGATACAGTGGCTTCCATCCATTCTCTCAGTGATGTTTGTGTTCAGACGCATCCAGGTAGTACCTGTGCTCCACAGTGGGTCACCTGTTTTCAGAACAGGTAGGTGATATTCCTTCTCATCACTAATGACCATAGGGACTAAATGCTACTGGTGATTAGGAACCATCCTTTTTGATTCTGAGTAAAATTTGAAAACTAAATACAATCCTCTCTTCTGTGGTATTTGATCAGACTGCTGATGTTTCCTTAGTGCTTGGTGAGTTTCTTGGGCATTAGTTTTGTTTGACTGCTGTACTTCTGTCTTGCTTCCATAGTATATGCATTTCTGTGTGCTCCACCTCACAGTCACACAGCCTAACCAACAACCCATCCTGTCCTTTCACACTGTCTTCATTCTTCCACAAAGGGTCTGGGCTTAGCGATCCAGAACTGACTATACTGAACTTTTAAAACTTTGAGAAAAAGAGAACATTAAAAACTGCAAGTTAGTGTATAGCATTGTGAATCTGGTTACTTTAATATGCAGAAAATCTTTACAGGCTTTAGATATTTTTTCATTGTAAATCATATTCAGATTTTAAATGATTATGAGCTAAAATCGAAAGTGCTGGCAACTTTCCGGCATCCCCACCCTGCCATGTAGAGCATGTCTTGTCTTCTTTGTTCTATGAATTTATAAGTGAATTGAAAAAGAAGGTCATTCTTCATTTTCCTTATCTGAAACCAGACCCTTGGAAAAATTATCTTACATAGCATCATCAAAAGAACACTAACTAGTTTTATAGAGGGAAAAATCAAAACCATTATTTCTGAGAATAAGGTCTCCATGCCAGTTATTAGGGGCTAGTTGTATTCCTCCTGCACTGCCTGGCCTCCCCTTGCAGGTATTAAATTTTTACTGTTGGTTATTTGTCTCAAGATAGAGACACGCTTAACTAGTGCTTTACTTAGTGTCATTACAAGGTGATGGCACTCTCATGGCTCTTAAAGGGAAGAATAACTTGGCATTTTCTAATTAAAACACTTTAAAATAATTAGTGGTAATTTTACACCTGTGTTAAATGGGAATATTCATGTGTTATACAGTTGCACTCAAAAGTTACAAATCAACAGATTCTATATTTAGAAATTCCCCACCTGTGTTTATTTGCTGTTCCTATTTAAAGAAAATTTTTAGATTGTTAAACCACATGACACAGAGATAATACTATACAGAGAACAGCTGAGTAATTTTCAAAGAACAATAGCTCCTTTCACAAAAACTGTCTTTCTGTATTGGAGAAGAGAATGGGACTTCAATGAAAGGCCAATCCAAAAAGTGCCATAAATAACAAACACTATGCACATATCCTTAATCATTTGCATAGGTTATAACCAAAATTAAAGGAAATTTCATGAATAAAATTGCCTCTTCTCATTAAGCTTCAAATTAGGTTGGAAAATTACCTCTGATTCATTGAAAATATAAGGGAAATTTTGCATAAACTCTATGTGCAGCACTGCTACTTATTTTATAGCCCTTGTTATGAGCAAGGTCACAAGGATATTTGAAAATTGTAATTGAATACTCACAAAAAGACAATTTTTCCTCTAATGTGAATTAAGGTTAATTCTCTAGTTCTTTAAAACTTTTATATGAGACAGTGTATTCTTAATTAAGATAAATTCACAGACTTACAGTCTTTAGAGCTAATGGGGAAATTAGAGTTTAATCCCATCCTCTCACTGTGAGGAATACAAATCTGACATTAGGGGTTCACCCAGGATATTCCAGGTAGACCAATAGACTCAAATCCCAACAAGCAGGAGCCAATTCCAAAGTTTTTCTACCATATGTGTTCTTCATGAATGCAGAAGAGAGTATCTTATGCACATTTCCCTTCTTAATTTCATTGCCCATGTCCTCATATAAGCCCTCATCATCTATTCTTGGATATAGTTTATATTTAGTCCTTTATATTACGTAGAATATTGCAAGTAGCACAATAAAAACCATTGATTTGTTAGCAACAATAGCAAGTTTATCTTTATTTCTAAAAACACTGCTGAACTATTATTAAGTAAAACCATTTTGTGAGGTATTTGAAGAGGCCACCAGCAAATGTTTGTTAAATCTGTCAGTCTTTTCAAAGTTTTTTTAAAATTAACAAATGACTTGCCTCTGTTTTTCTTTTTCTTTTTTATTGAAGTATCATTAAAAAATATACAATCTTATATAGGTTTCAAGTATATAACACAGTGGTTCAACAGTTACCCATATTATTAAGACCTTACCCCCACTAGTGCAGTTACTATATGTTGACACAGGAAGATGTTACAGAATCATGGACTATATTCTCCATGCAGTACTACCATCTCTGTGACCAACTTATATTA